AAACAACAATACTAAAATTCGTTCTTGAATTCTCATTCGTTTTTCTAAGTCTTACCTTATCGGCCATTGAGGTAGAAGCTGAGGTTCCATGAGCATCACCTCCGAGATCATTGACTGAAATGGATTGATTCGGTGATACGATTAGCAATCCTTGCTCTTTGGCCAGCGTGGCTATGACCCTTATGATAAGAAGGTAAAGACATGTTGTTGAACAAGCATGATTTTTCATTTTACGACTTTTCCGAAAGAAAAAAGGCAAAATAAGGTCTTGATGCTGGAATGTCCAGTTCGTACGACACAAAGACGCTATACTGACCAGAGAAGTCAACGCAATATACAATGGAATTTTTCACAAGACCAAAAAAACCCAAACGAATCGGTTAGGCTCAAAACAAGCCGTAGAATTTCCGAAATTTTTAAGAATTTATTTGCGTGTGTTCAGTTTCTGGGAAATACCGGCCAATAAACAAAATAAACAGCTGTGTTTTGGACAAGTTTACTCTTCCTACCTACGACTTTGCATCCTCGTTTAGCAAGTTCAAGAGCATAGGTTCGGCCCAGACCACCACCAGCACCAGTCACAATAGCCACCTTTCCGTCAAAGCGAAGTGCCATTACCTCTGAGATGAATTTGAGAAGTGAAAAATAGAGATGAAAAATCTAGTATAACATAAATATACTGTGGCCGGGTCAGTTATGAAAATCTGGGGAAATGCGGAGGCAAATAGGAAAAAGTTTGGAAAGTTGTTTTGGAAAAGTAATGCTATGAGAAAGTGGAATAATCTAACATTAGAGATGAAGGGGATAGGGGTCTACTGGTCTACATTAGGGATCTACTCATACATATTTCGAAAGAGGTAAGCGTAATTACCTATTTTTACAATAAGGCACAAAAATATTTCAATGATTCAAAAAAACGATATTGTCAGCCTTCTAGTAAACAAAAAGCTGTCTGAAGAACGCTCTAAAACAGCATACACATTCTGCACCACTCAAATTTATTACAGTGTTCAGAAAAAGAAAAAAGAGGGAATGTATAGTAAGAAAAAGTTGAGAACAAGCCTGCCCGATATGCTGCTGTGCTTGAAAATGTTATATGGAGCACTCTGTTCTTGCGATAAGAGAGCGTGATACCAGACTAGAAATGATAAGCGTTCACTACACTACGTAAACAACAATGCTGGCCATCGCTTGAAAATTTTCGAATGAAAAGTAGTAAGTTGTAATAACTCTACTATATTATAAGAAAAGTTCAGCGAGGTGCAAAAGATTGCTTGATGGAATCAATCTTGGGGTCGCATGTGATAAAAACGGGTTTTGATCAGTTAGGACGGGAAGTAGCAAGAGATCAGCGTTGGGAACGGTGTAGTAGGAGAAGCAGAGATCACTTCTCAATCAGAGCATGTCCTAATCGTAATTATTTCGGGAAAACTCAAAACTGGAATGTAAAAAATGCAATTTGTGCACTGCAGTGATCGCAGTGATTG